GCGCCGACTCCGACGGCCAACGGGGCGGCCCCCGCCACCGCCACCGCCACCGCCGCCGGCGCGCCGCCGCTGCCGCCGGCCAACAAGTTCTGCGACCCCTCCACCTTCCTGCAAGCGGTGCGCGTCGTCACCAAGCCCCGCAGCGGCTTCAAGCGAAGCAGCCTCATTATGCTGCTCTGCGCCAACCCCTTCGTCGTCGGACCACTGCTCGGTATGTTGAACGGACAAGCCGCGCCGCGCCGCTCGGAATAACCGGCGTTCGAGGCTGGAGGTCGAGTGGAACGCAAACTGACTGGATGTTTTCGCGCAGTCGTTTGATGCTAATGACTAGCGGATATAAAAAGGCACCTGATGCAGATTCACGATTACGTGACCGTTATTAGCCAATTTGAATGACTAATTAAATTGGTGTTTGAAAACATTCTTAGTAAGAGCTACTTTTATTTATTTATTTTTTTCCCACAGACCAGCATAACTGCTTTACAGGGATTGGCTACTTTTATAGTAATAAAAAATAACACTAAATTCTTCCTTTATTTTGAACGTAGGACCGAAGTTCAAATGTTTCACTTTTTTATTATATCCCTTAATCAACGTAGTGCGGTCACTATGACCGCAGAAAATGTGAACTCGTCTTCAGCAAGGCGAAGTGTAAAGGTTTATTTCTGGGACTCACTCTATTGTGAGGCTGTTGAGAGCTATTCAGCTTGATCGTCGGTTAAATTATTTACATTCGTAGCGGTCACGATGACCGCACTACTGTATTTTCGTCTCTTTTGCCACTGCGTCTTTCGAAATTGGAATAACGCACTGCCAAATGTGTTTGTTTATAAAATCCGGACTTCGAGGGAATAATGGCAATGATGCTACAATGGCGTGTTCAAATAAAGTCAATTTCAGTGATAATGATATAATGTCTGATCAATATTGTGATTTAAGTTACCATGACAGAAGCTCTAAAAATACTTGTGTTGCAACCGTAGTGCAGTGAAGTAATTTATTGCATTTTATGTATTTCTTTCATGTTGTTCCAAGCTTCTGTGTAAATCTCACAATACATTTATAGTATCATATTTTCTAAAAATTTACGTATTTAAATTGTTTTAATCATGTCGTGACCCACTAGATGGCAATTTGTAGAGGAAATTAATCATTTCGGAAGATTACATTTCTGATAAGATCAATGAAATTTTGTCGAACTATTCGGATGAAATGTGATAGTTGACTGATTACAAATTCATTATTATTGTTCTTTTGTTCGTATAAAATAGATTAATCAGTCGCTCACACTATGATGACCCTTGTAGTACCATGATGGTTCAGGGTTAACACACATTACATCATACACAATTTATGAACCCGGAAATATATCTGACAGCACGTTGCAAAAACTTATTACGTTCGATGAAAGTTGATCACAAGATTTCTATTGCAATTTCAAAACACGCTGTTTCCGGAAATATTATCGTTAATATTATAATTCATCTGGGTTTAATAGATTACGCAAACAATTATCTTGGTGTGAATCGCGATTTCCCTTTTTAATTTAATTTCACTGCGAAGAAAGTCGTGGACGGCTCTCACCCGGAATCGCAGAAAACATCAAAAAGGAAGAAGTACAATTATCAATACTGCCTGTTTAAGAAAGTATTTGCTCTTCAATCTGATATTAGCTTAATCTCACATTCTTAGTGTTGATGTGGGAATTTAAATGAGCTATAATTTGAAAGACATTCTACCGTACGTAAAGGAAACGAAATTTCTACGAAATCGAAATCAGAGGCATCGTGATCTTGTTTTCTTTGTTGTATGTCATCTATGCATCAAAACTCTTTGTCTACTAATAAATGCAATAATATTTTCTGTATTTGGCATTTTGGGTCAATAGTCCAACTTCGCTGATAGGTTAAGGTGTCTCCCACCCTGGGCCTTAAATTCAAATGGTTGGGGATGAGAGCGACTTGTGGTGAACATGACGAATTCCCTTCACCGTAACTAGCAATATCCGCCTATCTAAGTTTTCTTTGTCACAGAGTTACAGAGAACTGGGACGGTTTTAAAGAAAAGTTGCAACTCTATTTTTCCTCGACCGGGAATATAGCTCGAGACCACACCATAGGAGCTAGTGCGCTACCCATGAGCCATTCGAGAGGCCAAATAATATTTTGATGATCAAATTACTCTTTAAAAAATGTGAATAAAGAAACGTTTCCTTCCGTATATTTTACAGAATTCACGTATAAAGTTCAATTCAATAATTTCTCAAAAATTAATCCAATAATAATAATAATAACAATAATAATAATAATAATAATAATAATAATAATAATAATAGTCATAATAATAATAATAATAATACAAAAATCAAATTATATTTTTTCTAATAGTTTCATATGAATTTGCACAAAAAAATCGATATTTCGAATTATTTAGAGAAATTGCTTTGACCTAAGAAAAAAAATGTAATTGTAAATTTTTATTATTATTGACGGTTATTAAATAATGTTCTGAGGCCATATGCGACCATATTTTGCGTCAAGAACAAAAATACTGTAACATATTGCATTAATAAGTACATGTATTTCATCGTGTTTTTTACTTTGAGGCTTTATGCATCACTCAAAAACACTATATTCTCGAATACCAATACAAAATGTAGAAACCCTAAATGAATAGTACCTTTTTTCACTACCATTACAAAACATTCAAAAAGACCGCAGGCATGCTCTTCACACCCACATCACATGCGTGAAGTTGTGATCGCATAATCAGCCATCCTATTATCATGCATCGAGGATTAGTATTTATTTCGCCATGCATTAAAAAACAGTTGTTCTGTTAAGGTCTTCTTGCCTTTCTGTCCCACGATCGTAGTTGGTGCCATCGTCCTTAACTTTCATAACACAATTAAGTCCCAGAAACCTTTGTCCAATTTTACGTCCTGAACCATACTGCTTTCTTCGGGTTGCACCGAGATCACATACTTAATGATTTGCGAGAGAATCAATATTTCAGTATCACAAGGTATATAATTTTCTACTCTCAAGACCCTTTTGATAGTCCTCATTTTTGTTCTGATCGCTCCACCCTTGTTAATATTTTCTGACATGTTTCAACCTCATTTCTCTTTGCGGGACGAATTTCTTCTCGATTTTTTTTTATTTCATCCTTTTCAATTATATCAACCTCAAGAGACAAATTTAAAATTACCATGTCAACAACATACATTACTTATCCATATAAGTTTATTCTCTCTACCCTTTTTCAATAGCTCGCAATTTTTCATTCTCAGCTTCTTTTAAAAAGATTTTCTCGTTTAGAGAAATTATATGATCTCATTTGTGTACTTCATCCTACGTTTTCTCAATTACCTTTAACACTCAGGTTCTTCAGTTCATCACTCATTTCCTGTGTAACATTCTACAACGTAATTTTACTTCTTCCAGCCTCTTTTATTTCCTCTTCCAATTTAAGAATACTGTCTGAATAATTCTCTATATCCTCACGCATGACTAGGTATTTTGTTTTTAGATTTTCATTCATCAAACTATTGACGCTACCACTAAACATATTCTCTCGTATTATTAGTAACCGTGAGTTAATTTTGTTATGTCGGTAATACTGTAATATTGCACCTTCTATACTACTAACACTTAAGTCACCTCTTGAAACTTAAAAAATGTAACTCAAAATAGTTTTGAGAAATTATTACATAATTATTACATGACATCTACTAATAATTTGAAAAAATGAAGATTAAACGATTTAAAAATCTAATATTGATAAATATATTGCAATAAATAATACATTTCTAGTTTCAATATTGAAGTTAAGTTAAGTTCGAGCAAATGTTTACCTCTTGCAGTTTTCTAAATTCCTTTTAATGAAAATCGAACCATGTTTAAGCTAAAAATATTTTTCATAAGAAAACATGATGCCCTTTTGAAGAAAATCTTATTAATATGTTTAGAAAATCTTATTAGTTATTTTCCATGCACGCAGAAATTGAAAGCAATCTATGCAACCTTCGGCCATGTGAGAGGTGAGATACATGTTTTCTTAAGGATCCCTGGGAAAATAAAAAACAACAATGAAACAGTTTCCATTTTGACGGAAAAATGCAAATATTTGGTTATTCTACCTATTCTTACATGGCGCGTATCGACTGAATTCTCGAATCTGCGAATTCTCGAATCTCGTCTTCCGAAGCAAGGCTTAAGAAGGATGCCCCCCGCAACTTAATATTCACGTGTTGCGTTAATGAACACCAACGGTTTAGATATTCTTGGTATGTAAAGATCTGTTGTATTGTACATACTATTCTGTCTTCGCGGCATTCGTGAAGACTGTTTTTGTTATTGCAGACTTATACGACAGTATTTCGTGTGTAGTTCTTGAGCAGTGTGCGTGATACTTTTCGGAAAACCTTTTGTGGAGTTTCGTTTAGCAGTGTTTTTACTGATGCAGACCACTAGATTTTTTAAAAACTTTTACAAACCGAATTGGAACAGGACAAAATTACGTGAAAACAATTCATTTTTTCAAAAAAGTTATAGATGACATTATTTAAACATTATTGTTTAAGAACAGATTTCATCAAGAAAATATCACTATCATCAACAATGTTGTTGAAAGAGATAGTCAAAAATGTTTATTTTACTCGATTTTCAAAATTTCATGAAACATCGCCTTGCAATATTTTTGTAACGGTTCATTGCCTTGCCCGAGCTAAAACGTTAAAAAAATAAGCGATTTTTGCGAAAATTTGAAAATGTCGTAAGGTACCATGTACCCACAAAAATAAAAATATCCGTTTCGAATTCGAGAGACTGCAACATCAGCCAAATCGATCGTCGAATTTCAATTTTAGTGCAAATTCTGTGTACGGTTAGACGCTAGGGGTTTGCTTTCTAGGACGAAGATTCGCGGAAGAAAAAATACTAGCACATAATCATTACTTCAGTTTGTTAACTGTTTATCTCAGCCACAGTTCTCTTAGGCGTGCGCACAGGGGGCCCTGGATGTCTTAAAATTTTGAAATGGAGAACCGTTGTCTTCCGTAATGAAACATTTTATTTTACCTGACAATTTGGAGAACTCGACACTTTGTATTTAGGCTCTCCAAGACATTTGTCAACTCTGTGAATGGTTCAACAGAAAATCATTAATTGATTACCCAACAATTATTGTATTTGTTAATAGTATCATTAA